AATGGATAGTCTGAGTATTTTTCCTGGGGTAGAAATGCAATTACTAGGGGGCATAGGTTTAAGGTAAAAGGGGAAAAGATTAAAGGAGATGTGACAGGTAAATTTTTTTACGCACAGTGTAATACATGCCTGGGACACACTGCAGATGAGGTGGTAGAAGCAGATACAATAGCAATGTTAAGAGGCATCTTGACAGGTACATGAATAAGCAGAGAATATAGGGATAAGGACCATGTAGCAGCAAAATATTTTTAGTTTAGAAAAGCATCAGCTTGGTGGACTAAATAATTTCCCTACCACTGATGTAAGGCTCACCAGCCTGTAGTTTCCCACTTATCCCTGTTGCCCATCTTAAACAGAGGAACAACATTGACTATTCTCCAGTCCTCCAGGAGCTCTCCTGTGATGAAACAGGAGACAAAAATTTTGTACAAGGCCCCAGCAATTTCCTTCCTTTCCTCCGTCAGTATTCTGCAATGGATCCCATTAGATCCTGGGGACTATTCTACCTTAATGCTTTTCAAAACACACAACATCTTTTTTATATCAACATGTCCTAGAATATCAACTCACTATTCTATAAACTCACCATTCACCATGTCCTTCTCCTTTGTGAATACCGATGCGAGGTATTCATTAAGGACCTCACCTACTTCCTCCATCTCCACAGATAAATTCCTTTCTTTGTCCTTTAGTGGATCTACCCTTTCCCTAGCTAACCTTTTATTCCTTATATATGTATAAAATGCCTTGGGATTTTCCTTAATCCTGTTTGCCGAAGACATTTCATGGCCCCTTCCAGCCCTCCTACTTCCTTGTTTAAGTTCTTTCCTACTTGCTTTCTGTTCTTTGAGACACCTATCTGTCATCAGGTCCCCAAATCTTATGTGTGCATCCTTTTCCTTTTTGACTAAACTCACAGTTTCTATTTTCGTTAAACATTCCTGAATCTTGCTATCCTTTCTCCTTCATTTTTGCAGGAGCATGCTGGTCCTGAAATCTAATTAACCAACCTCTAAAAAAATTCCCAAATGACAAATGTGGATTTATCCTCAAACAGCCATCCTCAATCTATATTCCCCAATTCCTGTTTAATATTGTTATAGAGATAGTAGGAACTGCAGATGCTGGAGAATCTGAGATAACAAGGGTCTAGACCCGAAACATCAGCTTTCCTGCTCCTGTGATGCTGCTTGGCCTGCTGTGTTCATCCAGCTCTACACCTTGTTATCTAATATTGTTATAGTTAGCTTTTCTCCAATTTAGTACTTTCACCCGAGGGCTATTCTTATCCTTACCCATAAGTAATTTAAAAATTACAGAATTATCATCACTCTTCCCAAAATGCTCCCCTTATGAAATTTTGATTACTTTGCTGGCTTCATTCCCCAATACTAGGTCTGGTATGGCACCCTCCCCAGTTAGATTCTTTACATATTGTTTCAAAAAACTGTCCTGGATGCCCCTAACAAATTCCTAACTCATCCAAGCCTCTGGCACTAAGGGAGTCCCAGTCTATGTAGGGAAGTTAAAATCAGCCAACACTACAACCTTGTTGTTTTCACATTTTCCAATAATCTGTTCACATATCTGTTCCTTGATTTCCCGCTAGCTGTTGGGAGGCCATCATAGTGATTACACCCTTCCTACTCCTGAACCCTACTCAGTGGCCTTGCTGGATGACCCCTCCAAGGTATCCTCCCTCAGTGCAGCTGTGATATTCTCCTTATTCAGTAACACAGCTCCTCCACCTCTTTTACATCCCTTTCTATCTTGCTTGAAACATCTAAAGCCCAGAACGTTACACTACCAGTCCCTCACTCAACTAAGTCCCTGTAATTACTAAGCATCATAATTACATGTATTAACCCAAGCTCTAAGTTCATCTTCCTTACCTGTCATACTCGTCGAGTGAGAACAAGTACACTTCAGACCACCAAACTCCCCATGTTCAGTAACCTCTCCCTGTCTGTTCTTCCTCTTAGCATTACTGGCCTTAGTCTCTAACTTCTCCTTGGTCATTTTTCTTGCTGAGCTACTGCCCTGGTTCCCACCCTCCTTCTACACTAGTTTAAACCTTCCCGGATGACACTAGCAAACCTGCCCGCCAAAATATTGATGTCCTCCAATATGGGTACAACACTTCTTATACAGGTTCCACCTACCCTGGAAGATTTTCCAACAGCTAGCGGGAAATCAAGGAACAGATATGTGAACAGATTATTGGAAAATGTGAAAACAACAGGGTTGTAGTGTTGGCTGATTTTAACTTCCCTACATAGACTGGGACTCCCTTAGTGCCAGGGGCTTGGATGAGTTAGGAATTTGTTAGGGGCATCCAGGACAGTTTTTTGAAACAATATGTAAAGAATCTAACTGGGGAGGGTGCCATACCAGACCTAGTATGGGGGAATGAAGCCAGCAAAGTAATCAAAATTTCATAAGGGGAGCATTTTGGGAAGAGTGATGATAAATCGGAAGCCATCCCTCCTCCACCAGCTGTGTAGATGCATATTTAACTATACTATCTTCCTATTCCTAGCCTCACTGGAATGTGGCACAGGGAATAATCCCGAGATTACTCAGTGGTACCTTAGAGGACCTGCTTTTCAAATTCCTACCTAACTCCCTGAGCAACCTTTGCAGGACCTTGTCACTCTTCCTGCCTATGTCATTGGTACCAATATGTACCACTGACCTCTGGCTGCTAGCCCTCCCTTTGAAAATGCCCCATTCCTGCTCACAGTTGTGCTTTTTCAGTTGTCCTGAATGATTTCAGCAATCATACTGAAGACTTGTACTCTAGAACTTGCTGTACCCTAGCCAAGCTATACCAGTACAACTAGGTAAAGTGACCATAGTCCCAAAGGACCATAGTGCTGCTCTCTAATGAGAAAGAGACAAATGGTGGTAAGTTTAACCTGAGGATGACCACTCCTCAAGAATGGGCTAGGGTTGAGAAGACAGGACTTTCATGGTAAATTAGCCAGTGCAGGAATTGAACCTGCAGTGTTGGCATCACTTTGCATCACACACCAGCTATTCATCTAACTAAAGTAACTAATCCCCAGTGCAGTCCAGTACAGCTACAACACTGATGATGTGAAAGGTTACCCACGTATGTCGTGTACACAAAACCAGGACAAATCCAACTCAGTCAATCTCCGCCCCATCAGTCTACTCTCAATAATCAGTAAAGTGATGGAAGGTGTCATCAACAGTGCTATCAAGCAGCACCTGCTCAGCAATAACCTGCTCAGTGAAGTTCAGCCACTCAGCTCCTGGCTTCATTACAGCCTTGGTTCAAACATGGACAAAAGAGCAGAATTCCAGAGATGAGAGTAATAGCACTAGGCATCATGGCCATGTTCAACTGAGTGTGGCATCCAGGAGCTGTAGCAAAACTGGAATCAATGGGTATCAGGGCAAACTCTCTGCTGGTTGGAGACATACCTGACACATAAGAAGATGGTTGTGGTTGTTGGATGTCAGTCAACTCAGCTTGTGGTCACCTCTGCAGGAGTTCCTCAAGATAGTGTCCTAGGCCCAACCATCTTCAGCTGCTCCATCAATGACCTTCCCTCCATCATAAGGTCAGAAATGGGGATATTCGCCGATGATTGCACAATGTTCAGCACCATTCATGGCTCCTCAGATGCAGAAGCAGTTTATGTTGAAATGCAGCAAGATCTGGACAATATCCAGGCTTGGGCTGACAAAGGCAAGTAACATTCGTGTAACATAAATGCCAGGCAATGTCAATCTCCCATAAAAGACAATCTAACCACTGCCCCTTGACATTCAATAGTGTTACCATCACTGAATCCCCCACTATCAACATCCTTCGGGTTATCATTGACCAGAAACTCAACTGGATTCACCACAAAGGAACGTTGGCTACAAAAGTAGGTCAGAGGCTAGGAATACTGCAGTGAATACCTCCTCATTAAAGCCTCTCTACCATCTACAAGGTACCAGTCAGGAGTGTAATGGAATATTTCTCACTTGCCTGGATGGCTGCAGCTTCAACAACATACAAGAAGTTTGACACCATCGTGGGCTAAGCAGCCTGCGTGATTGGCACCACATCCACAAACATCAACTCTGTCCACCATCACGGCTCAGCAGCAGCAATGTGCACCATCTACAAGATGAATTGCAGAAATGCACCAGAGCTCCTTGGACAGCAACTTCCACGCCCATGACTACTACCATCTAGACAGACAGGGACAGCAATACACCATCGCCTTTAAATTTCCCTCCAAGCCATTCATCCTAAATTGGAAATATATCGTTGTCCCTTCACTGTCAGTGGATCAAAATCCTAGAACTTCCTCCCTAATAGCATTGTGGGTGTACTCATATTAAATTCATTATATATATATGAGCTAGGACTTAAGATGGTGTCAGTATTTGCATCCAATATCTTTTGTAGAGCTACTTATAGATGCATTGATAGTAGCAATTGTAGAATTTAAAGGTCAATGTTAAAAATTCATTATTGTGACCAGTGGAACAGTAATCTTTTCATTTTTTTTGATTACGTCTAGTTTGTTAACATAAGTTTTAGACTTTTTTGTAATAAATTAAACTATTAAACACAAATAACTTTAAATTGTTAATAATCAAGCTGAACTGAAATATAGTAATTATCAATTATGCCAATTAAAACACTTGCAATTGTCACTTGCTCATCTTGTTGGATGAAATGGCGTAGAGAAACATGAAGTGAGAGCTAAAAATGTAAACAATGGCCAAACAATGGCCATACTGATGTGTTCCAATCATTTTCACTAAGTGGTTCTTTTCAAGATAGCCCTGACTACTCTTATGATTTTATTATTGTTGCTGTCTATTATTGATGTAGAATAATGAGAATACCTGCTTGCTTGGAAGTTGCAGTAAGATTAACCGTTGCCCTTGCTATGACGTCCTAGCATCCAAATAATATTATTCCCCTGGAGCTCATCTCTGTCGTTATAATATGCACAGTCCTGTATATGAAACTGATGAGATGGCTGGAAACCAGGAACTATTATCGTTTGGTAGCAAAAGCTCGCTTGAGACGGGAAGCAGCATTCCAGAAAATGGAAAAGGCTATGATTCAGGTTAAACAAATGGTAAGTATGGGAATTCCCAGATTCTGGCTCATCTTCTGTAAATAAAACATTCTATGTTATTCTGTGCAGGCTCTATATGTTTATATTTTTTTAAAAACTTGCAAATCATCCAGCCTTTTCACGGACAAAACTCTCAAATAGTCTGATTGAAGAGTGGCCCTTTCTATAAATGCAGTGATTGCAAAACCATTAAAGTACCGTGGACGAATTTTGGATTGGATCCATTTGTTTTGGATTCCTGACTAATCTGGAATGTTGAATAATACAATGCTTGCATTTTCTTTTCCTCCAACTTTCATCTGGTGATATAATAAAAAAGAAGCAAATCTAGAGAGATGGAATTATCTGGCAGAATTGCTGACATTTCTGCCTCTGCTATTCTGTTTGTCAAAATTGAGTGCCTAATGCTATTTAGAACTGCACCCTGATGGAAAAAGGATTAGGTTTGTTGGAAAAGGGTTAGGTTTTATAAAAAGGATAGTTTGTTGTCCACGTCTGCCAACATCCTTCCAAACAATTGTCCAAATCATGATATTGCTTCCAATTGTCTCTCCACTCTCCACCATGCCACTCTAATCCCTTTTAGAGACATAATGCCTGCTGTCTTCACAGAAGTGTTTGCTTTTTGGCTTTCTGTTTGATGTCTTTTCATCCAGAATTGCTTATTTGCTTAATCATTTTACCACACATTTACTGCTTTATATGAAAACAAATACAAGATTGCAAGATAATCATTGATGAGGAAGCTCCATTTGGTGTATTGCGGTTCATCATTCAGGCATTCTTGAAACTCTTCCACGTTGTAACATGTACTCTTCCTTACATGCTTCCAGGATCTTTGTGAAAGAAATTTCTGACATCAGTCTTAAAATTGCCTCACTAATTTGAACCCTAATTCTCCTTCCAAAGCCTCCCATTTAAGAAGGAGCTGAGAATATTTTTATTTTCTCTCTCAAAGGTTTGAGAGTCTTTGGAACTCTTTCCTAGACAACAGTACTTTCAGGCAGAGGTGGATAAATTTTTGACTATCAAGGAAACCAAATGTTATCGGGGTAGGCAGGAATGTGATTCTGAGGCCAAGGCAGAGCAGGATAGAATGGCTGAATGGCCAATGCTTTCTCATTGGTATTTTTGATAATCAAACAACTGAAAATAAATTGTTCTTCTCTTCTAATATCTATCACTGTTTCCATTTCAATTATTCCTGAATAAACAGGAAACAAACTCTGATGAAACATCATTGACCTGAAACATGAACTCTCTTTCTCACTCTCTACATATTCTGCCCGATCCTTTGAGAATTTCTAGACTTTCTGTTTTAATAACAAAAATGCATGTACAGAACATAACAGCAGCCTTGCTCACTAGCCTACATTGGAAAAACACTCAAAATAATTAGCATTTGATTATATAACTAATTTTCAAATAATATATCTTGGAAAGTACTTTTGTCAGCATAATTGAAGGCCCCAGGAGTTGCTCCTTGGTTGTTTTATGGCCAAACTAAAACATAATAAATGCAACTATAATAAAAGGAGAACTTTGGTTCTCCAATTAATAAGGCAAATTCCATTCCCTGTTTAATTGTGTGATTTTAACGGTACCAAGTATTACGACTTAACTCAAGATGGAAGCTAATTTTAATTACAAAATTACAGACTTAGGTGTTACCCAATTGTCTTCAAGCTTCACCCAGTTTTTTGATGTACAAAGTTGTGGAATGTTCCCCTTTGACCCGAAAAATGGGTACATTTGTACAGATTGTGCGCTTTAGTGAAGATTGCAGAATAGGAAATGTCAACCTTTGGAAGAAATGTTAAACCAAGGCTCTGCATACTGTTCTCTCAAGAAAACCTAAAAGACAAATTATATTATTTGAAAAAGAACATTGAAATTCTCGTTTTGTCCTGATAAACATGAGTCTCTCAACCTTCATTTCTGAACAGATTAGTGCAGCTGGTATTTATCTCACTTCTATTTGCAAAGCATGCCATTCACAAGTTTGCTGCTGTTACAATTCAAACCAGATCATTGGCAATGAAGTGCTTTGTTTTGTACTGAAGTCATAAAATGCACAAGGTCTTACATTCTAATATGATTTTCAAGTCCGTGACTACATTGTGTTCATCTGATACACTTACGTCTAATTAGTGATAAATTTTCCTGAGTGGAAGCTGTTTTTGTTCTTTAGAAACATAGAATTCTGGGGGTCCCCATTACTTGCCCATGTTTAATTGTACCGTGGAAGTGGCTGCTGTGACCACTTTCTAAGCCTTTTTTTCTGCCAATTAATATCTTAGTAAACCATTTCTGAAGATGGTTGAATAGGCTGGGGCTACTTTCCCTGGAATGTTGAAGACTGAGGGGTGACCTTATAGAGGCTTATAAATCATGAGGGGCATAGATAGGGTGAATAGCTAAGGTCTTTTCCCCACAGTAAGCAAGTCCAAAACCAGAGGGCATAGGTTTAAGGTGAGAGGGAAATGATTTAAAAGAGACTTAAGGGGTAAATGTTTTATGCAGGCATCTGGATGGATACATGAATAGGAATGGTTTAGAGGGATATGGGCCAAATGCTGGCAAATGGGGCTAGATTAATTTAGGAAATCTGGTCAACATGGATGAGTTGGACCGAAGGGTCTGTTTCCGTGCTGTACAGCTCTATGACTGTATGAGAAAATAACTATTGACTCTATGTTAAGAATGAGCCATGTGGTGTGGACTGGGTATGGGTGGCAGATTCTCTCTTCTGAGGAAGATTAGTGAAACAATTGGTTTATTCTGACATGATGTATTCTGGAAATTGCTAAATGTGTTGAATACCTTTTCACAATATCTCCATTGTTAATACAGTACTGTACTTTATTGTAACATACAGTTATTCTCCAGGCTGGTATGTGTGGGGATCAAAGTGAGTGACAGAAAGTGATTTGATCAGAGTTTGGTGCATCTTAAATAGTTCTTCTTCCTTTGTTTCCTGCTTACGTACACATAGTGTGGGAAAATAGCATGGGAAGCTAAATTGGGTTACTGAGAAGCAAAATTCACAATTCATTTATAGTAGAAAGAATGGCACGATGAGTTTCATAAAATAGTTCGTTGTTTGAATCTGTGGGTCCAGCCGGAGTGCGAGAAGGGAAAATGGTAACGTTCTGCAAAAACTTGTAGCTAGCACCTGGCCTCCTGCTTCTCTACTGCTGACCTCCCCCATGGCCTACATCACTTCAAGAGGTGGTGGAAGCAGGGAATACAGACAGGCTGAGTGCTAGTGTCTGTAATTCCTATCACAGTGACTTATCCAACTTTGTCATAGTTATGGAGAGCAGAAGGAGCACAATATCCTGGATTGAATCATTCTCTGATTCCCCCTTCTGAGTTGTTTGAATTTTGAGGAAATGTTAACAAAGTAATAAGTAGAGGGTTAGTGTTAGATTTTGTGTTGTGTCAGATCTAAAACTTCTGACTTCTCTTTATATTCTTTCATTTTACATTCCATTTTCTCATGCCTCATTTATGCTCTTATGGTATATTTTGTTCCTGAATCTAAATGTCACAGCAGCCCAGTTGATCAATTTATAACTGGCCACAATTTTGTTTACAATATAACCAAGACAGTATTCTCTTCCCCTAGGAAACCAGTAAAACAAAAATCAATTCTGCCCTCTTTTTCTCACTTCCTGATCTCTGTAAATCGATAAACAAAGGGGATGTATCACCAAGTTACGTGCTGCATACTTACCTGGAGAAGGTAAGAAAAAAGTTATGTCTTAAATCAGGGCATAAGAGCAGGAGTAGGCAATTTATCTTTATTGTCTGCTCAGTCATTCATTGCGATTATGGCTGATCTGTGACCTAACTCCATAGATCCATTCACCCCATATTCTTAACACCATCTGTTAACAACAATCTACCTATCCTCTCAGTTTTGAAATTAACAATTGATCTTATGTTATCAATTGTCACTTGTAAAAGAGAGTTCCAAACTTTTGGAACACCTTTTGCATGTAGAAATGTTTCCTAATCACGCTCACTATGAATTTTCTCCCCTCTGCCATTAGGTTCCCTTGGTCTATTAGAAAGGGCTGATGGTTGCTAGGCATATAGTTTCCTGGACAATTGCAGTCCTCCTCCAAAACTCACAAACTGCATGTGTAATATAGATAGTGAATGTCAGCAGGCAAATATTTCTTGAAAAGGTTTATCATTGCACTGGCTTACAAAAATGCCTACCAGCTAATTATTACCCAGGTCTGGGTACAGAATGCCTTCCTTAAATGATTTCCTGCTTGTTCAACTACTCCTACGAGATCCTTGTCCATTGACCTTCGAGTGAGAGGAGGAAGACCATTGTGGCTCACATAAGGGTCTTCGTAGTCTGCAAACTCTAGCGTCTTTAGCTTGAGAAAGTTCAACTACAGATTTCAGCATTTTGACAGCTGCTGGTGCTGTTTGGCTGAATAGCATTTCTGGCATAACTCTGGTTATTGGCTGAGCAGTAGCCAAGATATGAAAGTGCTGTCATCCTGAGAGAAAAGGGTATGCTGTATTTCCATTGCATGACACCCATATATTGATCTGCCTCTCAGCACCGTTCTGACATGGGGGGGAGCAGCTTGTAGGACATCCCAACTGATCAAATTGATTTGGTTTCCTAGCTTTCTCATGACAAGGGAGATAGTGGAATCCATAGCTCCAGGATGAGTATTCTTGACAGTTTCTATTATGATTTTCCATATTGCTAACTTTTACCAGCATAGTCTAAATTCATTGTTCACTGAGGTTCCCACATATTCCATGTTTCACTGTGGAGTATTGATGCCAGACATCAGAATCCCACATGACTTGGTCAAGGACTCTTCTTCCATTCCTTGATTATTGGTAACTCCTTGCGTACTATCCAACACAATGAGCAATTGCTGGTGGCATACTGCATTTTTCTTAAGAAGGCTGGGTCCCCAAACTCTGTACATTTTTCCTCCAACAAACCATTTGCTGTTTGTCCATTCCAATTACATCTTCTCATTGATATGAATTAATTATTCAGAGCAGACTCCGAAATTCATTAATTGTAATCTTGCTAATCCCAGTACTGAAGGTTGGAAAGGTTAAAGATGAGTTGCTATGCAATGCAGGAATGTCGGTGTTTTCCTGAAACTTGGAAACATTCTCTGTTCTTTCCAATACCAAATTGGACAGCAAAAAGAGTGGGAGTAAAGTGTGCCCTGTGGAAGGATTCTGAAGATATTTGAGGCCACTCACAATGCCTTGCAGAAAATAGGAAAATCATGCTCGTAGGTTTTGAATGTGTAATAAGTTAGAATAATTACTGTAATTGCTGTGATAAAGTTGTACTTTTCTATTCATTGTTTTGAAGGCTTTGGAGGCCACAAGAAAGTTCAACTGCATCACAGACTTTCTTCCTGAATGTCAAACACAACTTGCAGATTTGCATAATGTAAAGAAAGGACTACTGTATGGCATTCCCATCAGCATCAAAGAAAACATTAACTACAAGGTACAGAATTTTTTTGGAAAGTGCATTAAATGTTGTGCATTGTAAGTTCTTTGGAATTTGAAGATGCTTGGCTGTGTGTTTTATGTTACAATACGTAAGCAGAATAAAGTATTGAAAAGAGAGCAGGTTCCATATCTATTTCAATTCAATTTACAGTTTAAGGAAGCTCTGTTTATATTTTTCTATTCATTGCCACACTTTTCCATCTCAAAAGCATTGACTACTCGTCATCTTTTGATGTATCATTTTCGGCTGTAGTCACTCTCCGTCATTTTGGACAAGTGGTCTTTATTCACAGAGGAGAGATGACACAGCTATGCAAGTACTGGAATCGTCCAGTAGATGGTGGCAGAGTAACAGGGCTCCATTTGGTCTCTGGCTATGGGCCCATTTGCTCCCATCTGCTTTCCTTCTTGGCTTTACTCTTGCTTCTACTCTTTTCTTTTGCTTTATTTTCCTTTTCTATTGGTTTTTTACTTCTTTTTTGTGGTGGGTTGGTCAACAGCAAATGGGACACTACAGTCAAGGTTTTTGCAAAGATTTGTAGCTCGGTTGTGGGTTGCTTGCCGAGGGGGCTTGATTTCGTTCAGACGTTTCGTCACCATGCTAGGCAACATCATCAGTGAGGCCTCTGATGAAGCAATGTTGTTCTGCTCCACTTGGAATGTGTACTGTCTGGTCTGTTATGGTGGGTAGTGTCATTTCCAGTTTTGATTTGTATGAGTTTGTATATAGGGTCCAATTCTGTATATTTGTTGATTGCATTATGGATGGAGAACCATGCCTCTAGGAATTCCTGTGCATGTCTCTGTTTGACTTGGGCTACTATGGTTACTTGGTCCCAATTAAACTGATGGCCTTCATTGTCTGTGTTTACCGATATTAAGGGGAGTTTGTTGTGCCGTTTTGCTGCTAGCTGATGTTCATGTATTCTGATGGGTAGTTTCCTTCCTGTCTGTCCGATGTAATGTTTGTGGCAGTCATTGCATGGTATTTTGTAAACCACATTCGTTCTGCATGTTGTGGGAATGGGATCTTTAATCTCTGTGAGTGTTTGTCTCAGAGTGGCTGTGGGCTTGTGTGATGCCATGATTCCTAGTGGTCTTAGGAGTCTCGTTGTCAGTTCTGATATGTTCTCGATGTAGGGCAGTGTGGCCAGTATGTTAGGGTGTACTGTGTCCTCTTGTTGTCTATTTAGCAGGCACCTGTGGATGAAGTTGTGGGGATATCCGTTCATAGTGAAGATTTTGTATAGATGTTCTTCCTCTTTCCTACGAAGTTCTGGCATGTTGCAGTGAGTGGTGGCCTATTCAAATGGTATCCTAATACAGTTTTCTTTGTGGACATTGGGGTAGTTGCTGTGGAAGTTGAGGATTTGGTCAGTGTGGGTTGCTTTCCTGTATACTGAGGTTTGGAACTCCCCATTGGTCATACATTCAACCCTGATGTCCAGGAACGGAAGCTGATTGTTGTTTTCTTCTTTGCTCGTGAATTTAATCCTGGCCAATACTTTGTTGATGAGGTGGTGGGTCTTTTCTAGTTTGGTGCATTTAATGATGACAAATATGTCGTCCATGTATCAGATCCACAGTTTAGGATGAATGAGGGTGGGAGTAGTGTGTTCTAGTCTTTGCATGTCTGCCTCTGTGATGAGTCATGAGATGGCTGACCCCATGAGTGTGCCATTGTTCTGTTTGTATACTTGACCATTAAAGACGAAGTGTGTGGGGTGGGGCACAAGTCTAGTAGTTGGAGTATGTTGTCATTGCTGATGGAGCTGCTGGTCTGCATTCCTGCTTCCTGTAGTAATGTGGACAGTGTTTCTTTGGCTAGTGGGATGTCGATTGACATGAATAATACTGTGATGTCAAAGGATACCATAATCTCATTGTTGCTGATTTTTATGTTGTTGAGGTGATTGAAGAATTCTTGGGTTGAGTGGATGGAATGGGGTGATCCATTGACTAGGTATTTCAGTCTCTTCTGTAAGTCCTTGGCCAGTTTGTGTGAAGGTATGCCCGGTAGGGAGACAATGGGTCTGGTTTGTACTTTAGGGGTGGGGTGTGTTCACACCTTCTGGTTTTATTCTCATGTAGCCCGTCTTGGTTATCTGTCCTGCATCCTTTAGTCTATTCAGTGTTTGGGTGATCCTATCAATGAGCTGCGGTGTTGCGTCTGTCGCCACCTGTTGGTAAGTGTTTGTATCTACATAAGAACATAAGAACTAGGAGCAGGAGTAGGCCATCCTGCCCCTCGAGCCTGCCCCGCCATTTAATAAGATCATGGCTGATCTTTTTGAGACTCAGCTCCACTTACCTGCCCACTCACCATAACCCTTAATTCCTTTACTGTTCAAAAATTTATCCAGCCTTGCCTTAAAAACATTCAGCGAGGTAGCTTCAACCGCTTCACTGGGCAGGGAATTCCACAGATTCACAACCCTTTGGGTGAAGAAGTTCCTCCTGACCTCAGTCCTACATCTGCTTCCCTTTATTTTGAGGCGATGCCCTCTAGTCCTAGTTTCACCTGCTAGCGGAAACAACCTCCCTGCCTCCACTTTATCTATTCCCTTCATAATCTTATATGTTTCTATAAGATCTCCCCTCATTCTTCTGAATTCCAATGAGTATAAGCCCAGTCTACTCAGTCTCTCCTCATAATCGAAACCTCTCAACTCTGGAATCAACCGAGTGAATCTCCTCTGCACCCCCTCCAGTGCTAGTATATCTCTTCTCAAGTAAGGAGACCAAAACTGCACACAGTACTCCAGGTGTGGCCTCACCAGGACTCTATACAGCTGCAGCATAGCCTCCCTGTTTTTAAACTCCATCCCTCTAGCAATGGCAGACAAAATTCCATTTGTCTTTTTAATTACCTGCTGCACCTGCAATCCCACCTTCAGCGATTCATGCACAAGGACACCCAAGTCCCTCTGCACAGCAGCATGCTGCAATTTTTTACCATTTAAAACATAGTCCATTTTGCTGTTATTCCTACCAAAATGGATGACCTCAAACTTATCAACACTGTACTCCATCTGCCAGACCTTTGCCCCGTCACTTAGACTATCCATATCCCTCTGCAGACTTTCAGTGTCTTCTGCACACTTTGATCTACCACTCACCTTAGTGTCATCTGCAAATTTTGACACACCACACTTAGTCCCCAACTCTAAATCATCTATGTAAATTGTAAACAATTGTGGTCCCAACACTGATCCCTGAGGCACACCACTA